CGGCGGCTGGGGGCGAGGGCGACAAGCCCTTCTACGTGAACGTCGAGTTCCACCACGAGCGCGGCCTCGTGAAGGTCAATGACAAGGAGGTGTCGGAGCGCATCAGCGCCCTGGGCAGCCAGGCCATGCAGCTGGAGCGCAAGAAGGGCGGCGTGGGGGGCGGCGACGCACCCAGGCCCCCGCAGCGCGTGCGGGCCTCGGAGAGCGGCTGCGGCCTGGACATGGACTACGAGGACGCTGAGCTCAACCCCCGTTTCCTGAAGGACAATTTGATCCAGTCCAACGGCGGCGGCGGCCGGGCCCCCTGGCCACCCCTGGAGTATCAGCCCTACCAGAGCGTCTACATCGGGGGCCTGATGGGCGAGGGCGAGGGCAAGGGCCAGCTCCTGCGCAGCCAAAGCGCCTCGGAGCCGGAGAAGCGCCTCACCTGGCCGCGCAGGTCCTACTCCCCGCGCAGTTTCGAGGACAGCGGCGGGGGCTACACCCCGGACTGCAGCTCCAACGAGAACCTGACCTCCAGCGAGGAGGACTTCTCCTCCGGCCAGTCCAGCCGCGTGTCCCCCAGCCCCACCACCTATCGCATGTTCCGGGACAAGAGCCGCTCCCCCTCCCAGAACTCTCAACAGTCCTTTGAGAGCAGCAGCCCCCCCACGCCGCAGTGCCAGAAGCGCCCTAGGCAGGGCCAGGTTGTAGTGGCCGAGGCCACCATCGTGGGTGTCCGCAAGACCGGGCAGATCTGGCCCAGTGATGTGGACAGCTTGCATGGAGAGCCAGGTGGGTGCTTGCGCCACCTTTAATGGGCACACCTTTGTACCCACTGAACACCTGCCGGGTGGTCCACTGGGGAGAGTGGGAGAGGATATGAGGGGGCTGTGGGGAGAACACGGTTTTGAGTTCATTTTTCAAGTACTACTGTGGAGGTAAAGGTGCCCTGGTGGCATCATGGTTATGGGTTGGGCTGCCAACTACAAGGTCAGTGGTTCAAACCCACCAGCTTCTCCAAGGGAGAAACATGAGGCTTTCTACTCCTGTCAAGAGTTACAGCCTCAGAAACCCACAGGGGCAGTTCTGCCGTGCCCTACAGGGGCACTGTGAGTCAGCATTGATTCTGTGGGTCGGAGTTTGAGTTTTCAGTCGAGCTGTAGAGGGAAGGAGCCTAGGGGGGCTGTGAGTTCAGCACTGGGCTACTAACTGCAAGGGTGGCAGTTCTAAGCCACCAGCTGCTCAGAGGGAGAAAGAGGCAGTGTGCTCGCAGAAAGCTTGACAGCCTCAGAAATCCCGTGGGGGCAGTTCTACGCTGTCCTAGAGGTCTGCTGTGGGTGGACTTGGTGGTGGGTTTTGGTGGGCTTATGGATAAGCAGCCTCTGGGTGGTGACAACAGTTAAGCCTTCACCTGTCACCTAAAGGCTGGCAGCTCAGACCCACCGGCCAGTGCCGTGGCAGTCTGCTCCCATGAGATCATGTTGTGGTGACCGGGTCCGACTCACGGCGGCCCGATGTACAACAGACAGAAACACCGCCTGGGCCTGGGCCCATTGGAGCCCATTGTCCAGCCGCTGTGTCCGTCCACCCTGTTGAGGGCCTCCCTCTTTTTCACGGCCCCTCTGCTTTACCAGGCAAGATGTCCTTCTCCAGGGACTGGTCTGTCCCTTTGTCCCCCCTGGGGTGGCTTGCTCTGGGGCTGGCAGCTCAGTCACTGGTGTTTTAGATTCCAACCGGGTCACCCAAAGTGACCAGACTGAGAACAGACCTCGAAGAAGAAGCAGGCTGTTGGTTTCAGAGGACTTGGCCCCTGCAAACCTCACGGGTAGCAGCGACCATGGAGAGCCCCTGGTGGGCAGCTCCGCTGGCTCACACAGGGGGTGCCAGGAGTGCCCCGGGAGCTCTGGCGGCAGGCTTGTTTTCTGGGTCGCTGCCTGTGGTGGCGCACACTGTTAAGTACTCAGCTACTAACTGGAAGGAAGGTGGAAGGTTGGAAGTTGGGGTTCACCCAGAGGTGCCCCAGAAGAAAGACTCGGGGTGACCCAGCCTTTGGGAAGCTTTGGCATAGGAGCTGCACAGGTCTGCCGTGATGTCAGGAATCGGGCTGGAAAGGTTCCTAGGAAGCCTGCACCTGGAATGGATTCCCTCTCCCGGCCTCTTCCTGAGTGCAGCCACATTGGTCCCCGAATGGGGCTGGGCGGAGGGGGTTGGCTCTGGGTTCCTGTCGGCGCGTCACCTGTGAATCTCCACTTGGCTGGGACAGCCATCTTGCCTCTGATCTCTGGAGGCTTTGAGGACGATGGGGGTGGAGGCTGGGTCATCCTAGTGGGCTTTGATGTCTGTCCAGGGGATTTCCCACCCCCCTCCAGGGCTCCCCTCCCACCAGAGTTCCTGCCCCAGGGACAGGAGGGAGTACATGATGGGTTTTATGGATCCCAAAGCTGCTGGTCAGGAGTCTCCATCGGGGACATGTCCCAAACTAAGCTAAGCCAGACCCACCGCTGTCGGGTCACTGGCACAGAGCAGGTGAGACTGAATGCAGAGGAGGTGAGGCGACAGACGGGCCTGACTCAGTGGACCCCTGGCACCCACGGGGCAGGGGTGGAGATTGTATCCAGGACGGCCCCACCCTCGTGCTTCCTGCATTACTCACCCCGAATGTCTGGCTGTTCCTACCCCAAGGCCAGTAGCGAGGCCTTCAGCAGGCCCCTACCTCCCAGCCTTCCCTGGGGTTTACCTGGGGCTCTCGATTGATGGCCTGACCCTTAGGGGCCGTCCACAGGGTAAAGATATCCCCACAAAGGGCTCAGAGCATGAGGCCAGGGTTTGGGACGCAGTCCCAGAGTAGGTTTGGGGTCCAACTGGGGAGCTGGTTGGTGGGCTGTTTGAAACAGGTGGCCCTCGGGGGTCCCCGTCCCGGCTGAGCAACTCCCTTTGTCCGCCCCCATCGATTTGTCTCTCTCTGCCGGTGGAGTTGTATGTGCTTGGGCTACCAGAATCCTTTTGAAAGCAGTTAGGCTATTTTTGGCTCTGGGAAGCTGGCCTTTTTTTGTTGTTGGACCCTGTTCTCCTGTCCTGTTTGGTTTAGGGACTTGGAGCTACTGAGCTTCCCCGTGGCTGCTGGGCCATCATCCGTGGTGACAGTGGCCTGGCCTGGTGAGCCCCCGCCCCCATCCCCTTGTGAGGGGCAGCCGGCTGTAGGAGCTGGAAGGTACTTTGCAGACAGTGGCTTCTTTGGGGGCCAGCGGGTTACCTTCAGTCCTAACAGTTTGCCCTGGCCCGAGCACCATGGCCGGGGGAGCATTCCTACTCAACCAAGCTCACTGCCATCGAGGCAGACTCATAGGGACCCTGTGGGACAGGGTCGAACTGCCCCTGTGGGTTTCCGAGACTGTCACTCTGAACAGAAAGCCGCCTCTGTCTCCCTGGTGGTTTCGAACTCCTGATCTCACAGTTAGTAGCCCAACACCTAACCACTATGCCACCAGGATTCCGATTACTAGTAAAAAATGAAAGGTTTCCAGGTGAGCCGTCCGCTGCAGGCTGGAATTGGAATGTTTCGGCTCATCAGGCCCCTTGGGGGGAAGGAGTGGGTGTCAGCGGCATCCTTGCAGCAAACCCCCCCGCCCCCCACTCCACACCCTCTCAGGGAACCTCACATCTGCCTTTCCCTGCTCCCATAGACGTGCCACCTTCCCTCCCCACCCTAACCACCCGTGCCGCGCACACGGTGCAGTCCAGGGATGGCTCTGGGGTTCATCTTACAATCCAGAGCCTGCATCTTGAGATTCCACCCCCTCTCTCCCGTGATGGTTTCTTAACATCCTGTGGTTTTTGGCTCCGGGTGGGGGGCTTTCGGCCCTGCAGCACGACCTGTCGAGAAAGGAGGGATCCTGAACGGAGCAGGCAGCCGCTTGGTGACTAGTGTCCCTCCAGTGGTCTCCGAGCCGGCTGCTCTCTGAAGAAGGACCGCCCAGAGGCCAGTGCAGGGAGGGGTGGTTGTGGTTAGGTGCCGTTGCATCTGCTGGAACCCCCAGCCACCGCGTGGACCACAGAGCAGAATGCCGCCCGGTCCACACCAGCCTCACCGTCATGGTTCTATGTGGGCCCATCGTCGCAGCCGCGGTGTCCGTCCATCTCCTTGAGGGTCTTCCTCTCTTTCGCTGCCCGTCCACTTTACCACACACGATGTCCTTCTTCAGGGACTGGTCTTTCCTGACAACATGTCCAAAGTGCATGAGATGAATCTCGCCATCCTTGTCTTGAAGGAGCCTTCTGGCTGCACTTCTCCCAAGACAGCCTGGTTCAATCTTCCTGCGTTCCTTGTGCTTGCAGGAGTCTTCACCCACACCGTGTTTCAAAGGCGTCTGTTCTTCTGTGGCCTCCCGAAGTCACGGTCTACGAGATGACTCAAAATACCCTGCCTCGGGTCAAGGGCACCTTATGAGGGTGTGGGTAACACGACGGGCTGCTTACTGTAAGGTCGGCGGTTCAAACCCACCAGCTGCTCTGCAGGAGAAAGATGAGGCTGTCCGTTCCCATAAAGATTTAAACTGGGAAACCCAAAGAGGCAGTCCTTCCGGCAGTGGGTGTAGTGGCGTAGCTGGTTGTTAATGTAATTGATGATAAGCATTGGGTTTGCTCACCATGAGGTCGGTGGTTTGAGCCTACCGGCCATCCGCAGGAGCCGGAGGAGGCTGTCTGCTCCTATAAAGATTCTGTTGGACCCTATAGAGTCATTATGAACCAGACTTGACTCCACGCGTCAAGGGTTCTGGTACCGATAGGGTCAATAGGAGTTGGAACAACTTGAAGGCAGTGGGTTTTGATTTCCGTTAAAAAAAATAAACTTACTGCCATCAAGTCAATTTGGACTCATAGCGACCCTATAGGAAAGGGTAGACCTGTCCCGGTGGGTTTCTGAGACTGGAAGCCTTTAGGGGAGTAGAAATTCCTGTCTTTCTCCCGAGGAGTGGCTGGTGGTTTCAAACGGCTGACTTCATGGTTAGCAGCCCAGAGTGGAACCACCAGACCAAAGTGATTTCTGTGTGGTTTATGTGTTTGTATGGATATATGTACACACACACACACACACACACACACACACATACAGCTGTGTAGCTGGTGTCACTGGGCTGTCGGTTCGTGGTGCCATGGGGGGTTCTGGAAGCAATGCCATGGGTGTTTCAGTGTGGTGGGGAGCTTTCAGCAGGGCTTCCAGACAAAATCAGATTAGGAAGAAAGTGTGCCTGGCCATCCACTTCTCAGGAGTTAGCCTCTGGAAACTGCTACACATTGTGGCGGAACACTGTGGTGGACCATTGTCTGATAGAGGGCCCTGGGGTTGGCCTGCACTCACTGTAAGCTGCCCCGCTTGATGGAGCAGAGGGCTGGCCACAATGAGGAAGGCCTTCCACAAGGTGGGTTGACACGGGGCCTGAGTGATGGGCTCTGTCGTCCTGTTCTACACCAGGTCCCTTTGTGTCGGGATGGATTCGAGGGCGCCAAGGAGCCCTGGGGGTGCGGTAGCCACGCAGGCTGCTGTGGGTCGGATTTCTGGGGCTCTGGTTTGGAACTTGACTGAGCGACATGGGGTTTCGGCTTTTGGTTTTACCAAGGTTGGGGCACCTCTCCCCATTCAGTCCCTCAAGGAGGTCCGTTGGGCACCTACTCTCGACGGCTCACAGAAGCACTGGTGGTCCAGACCCTCCCCATGTGCCAGGGGAGAAAGGCCTGGCTGGAGACCCGTGACTGTCCAGACGCCGGCTGAGAAAGCGCTGCGGCATGCGCCC